TATATATATATATATATATCGAGAGAGAGAGAATATACAAATATATTCTGGCTACTTTATGGACAACTACATGCATATATACATATATATTATACTCACATATATCATAAGCCAATCAACAGCATATGCAACAGCAGAATACACACAGCAGACGGGAGCCACAAACAGACAGAGAAATCATATGCTGCAGCCTTCATTGCGTTGGGGTTATTCCTTGACAACCAGTAACACAAATCACATGTGAAGGAAACTACAGAAACCCAGTAAAATGAAAAGTTTCAATAAAATGCCTTTTGTAGAGGCAGTATATTTAGAATGTTATGATGTACTCAAAAAGAAAATAAATTAGTTTCAACATTAGCTGGTAACCAAAAGGCTACTTAGAGGGTAGCCAGCCAAACCCAGATAGATCAAGCAAACATGTGCAACTAGCTCAACGCAAACAAAAAAGCAGAAGAAACAGAGAAATTCACAAGTCTGCAACTAATGCAACGGCGGCAGTAGCATCAGCACCACCACGGGGTGCGCAGCAGATGCAGCATACGAGTTAGCACCTCCAGAAGCAGCAACACAAGCGTAGGCGTCAGCAACAGCACTATCAGAATCCGAGGGACGAGCTGAAATAGCAGCTGCAGCAACAGGGGGCCATTTCCCCCGCATCCCAACATGAGCAGCAGCAGCAGCAGCAGATGCATTCTTACGGGCTTTCCGTGCATGCTCTCGAATTCAGTGGTGTATGTGCGAATGCGTCGGACGTACAGGACGTCTCCTCCATCTATTCGTACTCTGTCTCCAATATTATAAGGGTTTGTAAAGGCCACGAATATAACGGCAGTTATGAAGTGCTGGTAAATGTAACCTGAAAATATTTATACAAACGAGGCCCCGGAGACATATTTGATGCAACGGCAGCGCCAGCAACGGCAAGCATAGTAGCTGCAGCAACAGCAACAGCAGCAGCAGCAGCAGCTCCAACAACAGGAGCTCCATCAATAGCAGCTGCGGAAGCATGTTAGCATCATATACTGCATTGTCCCTTTATTTGTATCAGTGGGCCTGCGCTTGTATTTTGTGTGTATTTAGTTTGTCGTTGTCCACTTGTTTCCCGCTTTGTTCCTGTCCTTGCCTCTCTCTCATTCTGTCTGCGTCTGTCTGAGTCTCTTTCTTGCTTCTCATATCTGTCTCAAAAACACATTCTTTTTGTCTGCTCTGGCCCGCGCAATTATTTGTTCTGTTCATGTTCCCCGTTCTGTCTTCCCTGTCCCTCCGTTTCTTTGTGTTCGCTCTGCATTCTTGTTCCTTCCTCTGTCTCTTGTGCCTGTTGTTTTGGTGGAATCAAAACCTACTTAGAGCAACCGTGACGGCCGACAAGAAAGCAGCTCCCGACATAACGACGGTATTCATCTCAACTCCCATCACCAACAGCAACACAATCAAGGTTACAAACCAAAGCAACAAGGACATCATGCGCAGTACAGTCGAAGCGATGCTTGCTTGGCTCTAAGCACACACACCACAAACCCTATACTGTAGACCCTGCGTCCCACTAAACTGTTAACCCTGAACCTCTAGCACTAAGCCATTAACCCTAAACGCGAAAGAAAAAAGTGTTTCCCTTACCTTTAGGGCGCGTACAAGTCGTTTGCGGAGGCTGTAGATGTGCAGCACAGCCCTTTGAAACATCATTTTGTTTATTTTCCCATGGCCTAGAGAATCGCCCAAAACCAAGTTAAACGCACAGATTAGACAAATAAAAAAATAACAAATTCGCAACAACGACAAATTCAGTGTGCGCAGTGACCGTCCTATAAACAAAAAGCAACACTGGAAACAGCAATAAGCACATAACAAGGACAATAGCAATAAAACAACAATAAAAGTGATAGCAGTAACAACAGCAATAAAACTACCAATAACGGTAACAATAATGGTAACAATGACAAGGAGAGCAACAATAACAATAACAATAACAATAACAATAACAATAACAATAACAATAACAATAACAATAACAACAACAATAACAATAACAATAACAATAACAATAACAATAACAATAACAATAACAATAGCAATAACAATAGCACTGTCAATAAAAACGAGCAGCAAAAACCCATGCATGCATGCAATTAAATGTATGCATATATACGTATGCATGCATGCGTCCATGTGCACATATGCTCGATACTTACGCAGATGTGCAGGCATATACAGAAGATTGCATGCAGTTTTATCATTCAATAGTTCACATGTGCATGTATCCACATGTACACGGAGTCAAATACATGTATCCATGTGTACATTACACCTGCATGAACTCGGATGCAGTAGTTCATGTAGATATCAAATCCATATATCCATGCACAAACGCAAGCACTTATTTATGTGTGCATTATGTGTGAGGGTTTCCCAAGAAACGTAGGTACTCAACCTTGCATCCCAGCATTCATGTGCGTGCACCCATATAAACTCCCTTGCATGCGTTTGTTTACAGCACCTATGTATGCATTCAACCAATATACACGCTTGCGCGTTTAGATGCACGCAAAGCTGTCTATTGGTCGATTTGTGTTCTTCATCTGTACCCGCTAAGTCCGCATGCCTCATGAATTCTTCTGCCTCATCTGGCTTGAGGAACCGCTCCAGTATTTCTCTGCTGAGATATCGGTCTTCTTCTTGGTGTGTAGTGACACCTGACGAGGCGCCGCCCCCAGAAGAAGCTCCAGAGGCCTTTCCCTCACTTGGCGACTCCTCCCCTGCTTTGCTGTTCTCAACCCTCCCACGCCTGCTGGGATCGAGGTCGATATCGGTATCGGGTGTTTTCGGCAGTCCTGGCTCCAACAGCCCCCCTTCTTGAGGTAACTGGGAGGAAAGGGGGGCCGTTGTCTCCTCAGAGCTGCTTCCTGCCAAAGGACAACCAGACAAAGCGCTCTTGGACTGCGGATGGCTCAGCTGCTGTTGCTGCTGCTGCGTTTGCTTCTGTTGTTGTTTTTGCTGCTTCTCTTGCTGCTCCTGCTCCTGCTGATATTGCTGCAGCATCGGGCCTGACTCCTTGGAACGGGGTTTGTCTCTGCTGGTGTTTCCTGCTTCAAAGGCCGTAGTGTCGTCTAGCTTTTTTCTCAGGCACCTGCCTGCTCCCTCGCACCTCTTCGTTTCTGTCTCTCTTTCTGTCTCTGCGTCTCCGTTTGTCTCTGCCGCGTCTCCTTTGCTGGAACTGCCTAAGAGAGTCCCTGTGCTGTGCCTCTCTCTGTGGCGTGTTTGTCCTAATTGTTGGTCTTTTTGCTGTTGCGGCCCCAACCGTACTTCTCTCTGTTGCCTTCTAGCTGCTGCAGCGCGCCTTAACAGCAGCAAAGGCCGTCTCGCAGACAGCCCTCTGCCTCGCTGCTTGCTGCTGCCGTTGCTGCTGCTACTGTTGCTGCGGTGGTTGTTGGTGCTGCTGCTGCAACAGTAGGACAGAGAAGAAGGCAACTCTTCCTCGTGATTCGGCTGTTGAGTCTGCTGCTGCTTCTGGTGCTGCTTCTGCTGCTGTTGCAGCGGCTGCAGTGGCTGCTGCTGCTGCTGCTGTTGCTTGCGTTGCTGCTGCAGTTGCTGCAGCTGCTCCAAAGACTGGGTATCTGGCAGAGTTTGTGTGTGTTCCTGCAACATCTCATCTGAACTCTCATTGGCTTGTCTCGAGCACCCAAGCGCTCCAGAAAGCGTCTCCTGCATATCTGCGTTGTCCTCATCCTCCTGGTTTGCTCTACCGATACTGCTGCGGACGCTGCTTCCTAATCCATTCTGTTCCGCGTCGCCGCCAGCCGACTTCAGATTCTCTGAAGCCTTAGTCGCACCGCTGCATGCAAAGGAACCCAGTGCGTGGGCTTCGCGGGATGCGGCTTCGGTTTCTGGAGTGCCGTTGGCGTCATCTGAGGGGCCCCCTTTGGGGCCCTTTTTGGGGCCCCCTGAGGGGCCCCCAGGAAGCGCCACCTCCCCATTTAGCACAGCAGCAAAGAGGAGGGCTGCCGCCGTTGCGGCGACATCTTTGTTAGTCAATTCAATGCGTCTGCCGGGTAAGAAGATCATGGGGGGGGAATAAAGACAAAAGTGAACATTCAACCAATTTCGAACTTGAGACGTTTTGCTGCTTTCAATGTTCTTCGGCCGCAAAGGCTCCGGCAGCACTACGTACAAACAAACAAACGAACGTACAAAAACAAGCAACAAGCAAACAAAAACAAACACCTAGAAAACCTGGTGCTCGAGGCATGAAACCGCCTCGCGCTCCCTTTTTTGGGGGGATGCAAACATTCGCTCCTACAGTTGTCCAGCACCAGCAGCAGCAATATCGCAGCAAAAGCAAAAGTACCAGCTGGAGTAGCAACCGCAACAGCAGGGCCGGCCTCAGTTTTGGCAGGCAGCAGCAGCTAAGTAACCGCAGCATCACTTCAGCAGCAGATCGATAGCAACAGCGTTTGTGCGTGATTCGTCTACGGTGTGCATGCACAGGGGGCCCACCGGTACCCTGCAGCATTCTTTCTTGCAGCTTTTCGGCCTTATTGGCGAAGGCACTGACCGCAAAAGGCACCAACAGCGGATTGTCTCTGTTCTGTGGCTCCTCTCCTTCCCAGCCTGAGGCGGCGCCCTTCTCGAACCCAAAACCCCGCACCAGCAGCCGCCGCTGGCTCGCAGCGACAGCAAATAACCTCAACCCCCCGGCAAATGCCTTTAATAGGCAACCGAAACTGAGCAGCGAGACCACACACACGCACACACACGCACACACGCACACACACACACACACACACGCAGACTATTGTGGGAGAGAAGTATGCAAGGTGTTGTTGCCCCATAATTTGTTTTCTCTACTGCAGATTGTTTGTGAAGCTTTTATGTATGTTGGGTTCACTTCCCAGATCCCTCTTCTCGCGTTTCGTTTGCTTGTATTTGAGGCTAGGGCGTAATTGTTCTATTTAGGCTTTAGGGGTTAGGATTTGCTAGAGTTCTGTGGGTCGTTTGATCTATGACTTTGTTACTTCTGTTTTATCCCCCGCCACCAACTACGGGGGCCGCAGTGCCTATCGTGTTGTTCTTGCTGCAGCTGCTTCTGCTGCTGCTGGTGCTCCCCGGGAGGAAGACAAGCAGTTGCTTCCGGCTCAAAGGAATCCACTGGCACGGCACAGTTCGTTGATAACTGTCTCTGCTGCCGCTGCTGCTGCTGCTGTTGCGCGTTGGTGCTGCTGTCGGAGGGAATGATCCGGTAGTGTGGGGGGGTGTTCTCTGTCTCTTTGGTTCGTCCGCTGGACCTTCAATAATGGACATAAACAAAGACACAAAATAGAGAAAAGGCGAAAAAAGGCTATCGAACCAAAAGACCCATGGAACAAGCAAGCAGAGCTAAACATAAAAGTCAAGGTGAAGAGACGAACATGAGGAAGGCACACAGACAAGCAGAGCAAAACTAAGCAACGAAAAAGGTTACACCAAACAGCCCATCAGCTAATGACCGAGATGACCAAACTAGCAACATGTTTAAGTAAAAACCCCCCCCCCCAAGAACCCCTCGTTCTTGCAGACGAAGGAAGGAACCGAAGCAAAACAAGCAAAGATAACACAGAACCGCAAGAGAGCTTCACATACCGTGCAGCGAGCCACTTGGCGTTCAGCCTGCGAACAGCCGAGGAACGACGGAGGTAATGCACGACTTGAGCATTCATACTCATGAGAAAGCCGAGTTCGAAGCAGAAGACCATCACTGCAAGCAGCAGCCGACGCACTGCCAACACCATCAGCACCATATTTGTCACCTGAATCACCCGCAGCAAACTCCGTGTAAACAACAAAGAAGAACCAAATAACACAAAGTACATCAAAGGCTCAGGCGCCTCCTCCGTCGTCTTCATATATATCATATACTGGCCTGTAGAATCGCATACACAACAGACGCACACATATACAGCAGCCACGCACCCACCAGCAGAATCTGCTCACGCTAGCAAGCACACGCAGACGTAGAAGCAGAAGGTGCACCAGCCGTTGCAGCAGGAGCAGTGATGCCACACCCGCATAATCCGCTGCGCTGAACGAAGGCAACTGCAGCAGCGATAAGTGCCCTGGGCTACAGAACTAGTGGCGCCTGCTGCTTCTACTGCTGGTATGCGCCTTGTCACGCTTGCTGCAGCTACGGCTTGGTTACTGTAGTTACTACAGCTGCTGCCTGCTGCTGCTGTGAGTGTTGCGCAGGTGACCAAAAAACCCAGCGGGCGCAGCGACAGCAGCAGCAGCAACTGCAACAGCAGCAGCAACGCATGCAGTGTTTGCCGCTTGCATGCGCCATTTTGGCTTACTTTCTTTCGCGTTCCCAAGCCACCACACATAAACAAAAATACTCCACGGCACGTAAAATATCTCCGGATCAACTGTAGCGGCGAAGGCAGTTGCAGCCGGCAAGCCGTGCTGCACCGCCTGCAGCAAACCCAAGATAACCACCACTCTGCACCACAAACAACAACTCACAACCTTATCCTGCCGCCTCTATGCATTGGGGTTTATTGTTTACGAATTAGGGCATATGGCATTGATGCCAGAAGTGTATGTCTAGAGCTACGGGTGTGGGGTTTACTGCGTTGGCGTTTTAGGGGCTGGGGTATAGGGATTGGCGTGTTACAGATTGTCAGTGGTTAGCCTCAAGATACAAGGTTTCTGGTTCAGGATTTATGGATAAGGCCATGGTAGCCCCTTCATTTAGGATTTCGGATCTAGGGCTTAGTGCTCTAGGGATATGGGGGTGGGGGTACGGGTTTAGGGTTTGCAGTATTATCAGCGAGCCTGTTTGTTTAGAACTAGCGATGCAGCTCCCAGGGATTTAGGGTGTAGACGCCGAGGGTCCATTTGTATGCTTTTTAAAGGTTTAAAGGGTTCAGGGTTTAGGGTTTAGGGGTTAGGACGGAGGGCTTAGACTCTGGGAGAGACCTGGCAAGCATGAAACAGAGGAAGAAGCAAATGTTCAGCAGCACGACGCGAAAGAAGGCAGAGGCGCCGTTCAGCAGCAGCGAGTTGCTGTTGATGTCTCCGACCTTGAAGCATGCAAACGGACACAAAAAGTGTCCGCAGTTGTTTTATTTCCTCATACTTGTGCGTTTCTGAAATGTTTTGCGCATTCATCTGGGTGCACTCATTCGTTGTGTCCTGGTGTTTAGGGCTTTGCATTTAATTGCATGCTGCAGCTATTCCTGTCGCTTCTGCTGCCGTTAATGCTTCTAACGATTTGCTGCTGCTGCTCTTGTGGGCACTGCTTCCACTGCTGGCGATTCTATCGCTGCAGCTGCTACTCCCGCGAGTGATGCATCATGCGCTACAACTGCTGTTTCTTTTCTTGCAGTTGCAGCAGGCCTAGCCGCAGCAGTGGTAGCAGCAGAAGCAGCAGCCAAAGCAAAAGCAGTAGCAAAGGCAGAAAGAGCAACAGAAGGAGCAACAGCATTAGGGGCAGGACCAGCAGCAGCATTCTCAGCAACAGCAACAGCACGGCAGCAGCAGGAACTGTGGCATCAGGTGAAGAATCAGCAGCAATGACAGCAGTATATTGCAGCAGCAGGAACAGGATAATTAGGAGGAGCAGGAGCAATGCTCACGACTTCAATCGGGGGTTTCGCTTCTCTGCTGGTGGGGACCCATGCAAGTGGTGCCCTGGCGAGGAAGAATTCAGATTTGGCTGTTGCAACTCTTTCTAAGCCCATGAGAAGCAGCAAAAAACAAATAAATAGCTGCAGAAAGAACCACACAAAAGGTGGGGTGTTGGGGAAAAATGCATGCAGCCAGCTGCGCAGCCGGGGAGACAAACAGCAGCAAGGCGGCGCCTCATCTTCGTGCTCGGATTCCGCATCTTCCCTCTCTTCTTCCGGCTCCTTTGGTGCATGAAGGCCTAAAGATCCCAAAGGCAACGCAGACGTTGAACCCCTTTCCCCGGTAACGCTGCAGCAACCTGCTCCCACTGAAGCTCCTGCAGCTGCTGCTGCTGCTGCCGCTGCTGCTCCTGCCGCTGCTGCTGCTGTGGGAGGAGCAGCACTACCGCCAGTGCAAGGCCCCTCAGCAGCAGCAGAAGTGTCCTAAGGCAAACACAGAAATGGCAAACCAATAGATTAAGCGATCAAACACAAGGCAATATATATGCACCTGAAACAACCCCGTCGATGAGCAAGCATAGAGAAGACGACTATGCAGTTAAATATTTCATTTGTTATGCACGCAACAAAGAGGTGAGAAGTGGAGAACCAAAAAACTGAACAAGCGAAGGAAGTGTGAAATTGATTCCCTTCTTCCGGACGCAAGAAGTCCTTGCGTGCATGCTGGGGCTGTCGCAGTTGGGTCGAATTCAACAATTGATATTGAAACAATTAAAAGAAGAGCTGACAAACAAAGAACTCGGAGGAAAATAAAAAAGAAAGACAGAGAGGGGGCGGCGGAACCAGGGGCAGAAAGAGCAAAACACACCAAAAGGAGACAAAAGGAAACAAGGGGAGAACACACCGAAGATGACGACAAACAAGGAGCAAAGGTGCTAAACTGGGGCGAGTCCTTAAAATAGGGATGCAGCATTCGGCCTGCAGGTGCTGCTACTGCAGGTCCATCTGCTGATGCCGCCAGCGCTGCTGTGGATACTTCTGCTGCAGCAGTTGCTGCTGCTGCTGCTCCCCCTCCTCCTCCTGCTGTTGCATGTTCCCTGAGGTGTAAAGACCCCGCATAACAACTTGGCAGATTGCAGGCGCCACGCATATGGCTTGGAGGAGGCACATGATGAAGTTGTGGAGATCCTTGCGCTGCTGCTGCTGCTGCCGGTATTCCTGTTCCAGGCACTGGTAGGAGCAAAGGCGGCTGGTGCTGCCCCTGTTGGTGTTGTTGCAACACCTGCTGATGGAGGAGGTGGTGGTGATGCGTTTGGTGTAGATTTCGAAGCTGATGCGGGTGCGTTTGGTGCAGCTGCGGCTGCTGTAGCAGCTGCGCTGCAGGTGGGCAGCCAGCAGGGCTTGTCGACTCTGCAGCGAAGGAAGAGGGGTCCTTCCTCCCTTCACTAGACGTGGACATCTGCGGGGTCTTCATGTGCACGGCGCTTGATTCTGAATTTGTGTTGTTGTCCGTGCCTAACTGTTGTTGAGTTGTTATTTGACGTAGCAGGTACTTGCATTTGCCAGCGCGGAGTCAGGATGAATTGGCCAGTATATGCGTGAAGCTTAAAGTTCAGGGAAAGAATTGGTGATTTTCGGTCTGGAAGGCATTCTTGGCAGTGAAGTCCGAAGCGTATCGAAGCAAATGTCTCTTCGGTGCAGTCACTGTGGTTGTGTGGTGCCGGAAAGCAGCATCAATGACGGCGAAAACAGCAAGGAGAGCAAGGAAGGTGGCAAAAATAACAAGGGATATGGGAACAAAACAAAAAACAATACAGCTGCAAACAATGTTTGCTGTAATGACGGCAAAGAAGGCTGGGGACGTGAGGAGGAGCACTCAGACACATGCAGAAGCTGAAGAGGATCCGTTGGCTATAGCTGAAGCTCCCTGGAGGCTGAAAGGAAGAAGCACAAAGGGTAACACAGACCCATGAAAAGAGGCAGAGAGATACTGGGAGTGAATAGACTGCTGGAAAAAATTCCAGGTGTGCGGCGGTTCGTCACAGATACTGAACAGCCATTGCGGAGAAGCTGACACTCATGTCTTGTTGGGAGGAGTTGACCAGCTGGCTAAGGAAATAATTATACGCTTATGGAATCTAGGAGCTATCTAATCTATTAAGCATATATCTAACTTATTAGTAGCGCGGATTATGCAACGGAAAGCCCGCAAACTGTGGCCTGCTCGAGGGAGTCGCACTTGTCTCGCTGACAACCCACGGGTGTTGCTTGTTTTCCCCATCTTGTCTGCGGAATATATCATTATTATTATTATATAGCTAAAACATCATGAAATAAAATCAAACAAAAATAAATAAATGTGTGATTATTGGCGGGGGTGACGGAGTCTGTCCTTCTAGACCAGACCACGGAGCCGCTCCCTGGGTCACTCAGCACTGCGACACGACTGCAAGGTGGCAAACGGCATGAAGAATACAAATATTAATTATATTTCAAGTTCACGTCAGAGTATTTTGCTGAAATTGCACAGAGTAAAGGTTTGAATGTGCGGTTCAGCTTGCAGCGCGTGTGCTGAAGAGTGGTGCGGGAGGCAGCAACGCCGAGTTGCATACTCGAACCGCAGTTAAAGCCAAGCTAACCAAGAGGAGAGACAAATGGAAGCCAAACGAAATGAGAAGGGAGGCGTCTATACTCGAAAACGGGGCTGTAAATCAGGAAAACTCACGGAAGTTATTGCCGGAAAAGCAAGTGGTAAATGCACAATACTGCAAAAAGAAAACGAGGGCTCAGCGAACGCGAAACGAAGAAGCAAGTGGACAGCAACACAAAGAGGAACGCGAATTATGAGGTGTGTGGAGATGCAGTTACACAGCAAGTAAGCAGCAACCGAATATTTTCAACAGATTCCTCGATCTTAGCCTATGAACGCCGTGAGTGTGGAGGCAAGAGGTTCTCCAAGTGCAGCTGATCTCCCCTCCAGTCTCAGCGCATCCTGAAAAGACGGGCAGAAGGGCCGGACGCTAGTGTTGCCCCACATGCAAGCAAGCCCAAGCCCCCTTTTGGTGCATGCAATAACACCGTAGACAACTGTAAAACGCTTACTTGGCCATCAGTAGCCAACCTGCCCGAAAGTAGAAATGCACAAAGGAAGTTCAGACAGACCATCCCAGCTCCGCATTAGCACTAGTTCCCAAAGCAGCAAGCTTCCTCGTGTGCCTGGTGGCCCAAAAGAGGGTGGGAGCACTGACGGGAGGGGAGGGCGGTCCACGAGAAGCCTTTTCGGAACACAGGAAACGAAAAGGAAGGGGACGACGGAAGAATGGATGCAAGCACTTGCTTATGTTGCTTTTTTTTCTGGTGCTGCTGCCAACCGCATCTCGCTAGTGCAGGCGGGGGCCTAGCCAGTGATCATGCAAGTGCTGTTTGCCTCGCGCCTGCTTGAGGATCTTCTGTTCATTGCGGGCACCTTACCCGGGCTCGTGAGGAGAGGGGGGACCCTCTCACAAATTTCAGCATTCCTTTTTTCGACTTCCGCTGTCAGGCAACCGCATGAGCTAGAGTATCCGAGCCGCTTTTGAAGCATGCATTAGAACCGTAGACAGCTGTTCGTCACTTCCTTGGCCATCACTAGCCAACCTATGTTCTGGTAAAAGCAGATGCTCCAACTTCTGACAGGCCATGATACACCTTACGGCTGTGCAAACCCACAACCACTGCCTGAATGAGGTGGATTCTCCACGTCCACTTTTGATTCGTGATTCATGAACGTTTCTGCTGTACGTAAGGCGAATTAGCTCATCATTGGTATCGCTTAAGACCTTAACGAGCTTAGCGGTGTTTCCTCTATTGAATTTCCGCTAGATATTCCTAACAAAACTTGCATAAGGCGTGAACACAGCTTTGTGCTAGAGGACCCAGAATGTAGCAAGTGCTTGCCTTCCCTATCTTTTCATATTGTTGCGCAGATGTCCAATCAAACAGAGCAAATAAGCAACTCACAAGGAATCGACGGACCGTTTGGCACTCCACATGCACAAAAGTCCACACATGGAGGCAGGGCAGTTTAAAAACCCTGATTGAATAAGGAAGGTATTGGAACAGTGCAGGTGAAAGCCGACAACTATTGTGCATTCTGCACTGAAAACCCACTGACGATTCACGTGAGATCTGAACGCAACATATTTGAACAAGCGAAACTGCCGTCAGCGCACACTCCGTTGCACCGTGCGCACCGCATTGACCGCGGAACTGCTTTTGCATGGGAACTGGAATGTGGCTTCCGAGAGTCATCTGAAACCCCATTGGCAGCGTAGTTGTTGCACTGTGTAGCTTATGTAGTCGCAAAAACGCCACGCCAGATGTACCGCAAGCCTGATTGTAGCACTATGCAGATCGTACCCAACCTTACCAACAGAAGCAAGCCACAACGAACTGTACCAAAGGTTAACTGAGTGCTAATGCTAATGATGAACTGTTTTCTCCGCATTAACTAATTCTTGGCTGCTCCAGACGCTGCCAATCCGTACGCTCAGGCGCCCCCCACGACGCGCATGCACTTTCCTATTACTAGAACCTCTTATAACTGACGCAATAAGCGTTCAATACAAACCGTGCAAGGGTAGCATCTTTAATTTCCCATTCCTACGGTAACGGGGCTTGCGGTCGCAAGCTATCTGCGGCTGTGCAGATTCAGGGAATATGGCCAGACAATTCAAGGAAAGCGTGAACGAATGCTCTGATTTCCTAACTCCTTTGGTTTCCGTAGAGCTAAGAGACAGGGAAACCTATACGACAGGACGCAGCGATCACACACTGGTAAGGGGGCTTGAAGCCTCGTAACTGGCCGATGTACAAGTTTGGCATGGGGTGCATTCCTAGAGCAGAAGTCTCAGGAAAGGGATAAATGCATATACTTTTATTACATGTGACAATGGTATGCAAAATAGATGGAATATTAGTGGAATGGACTGATTTTAACCAAGAGGCCAACTGGAGGCAGCGCACTGCGGAGGCTCTGCGTGCCATGTTGAAAGGCAAGACAAAAGAAGCCTCCGAAGAGCGAATTCAACATAAGAATGGTTCCATTTATATATAAGCTCCTTTGTACTATTGTTGCTAGCAAGACTGCCCTACCTGTAGACACGCACTGCTGCGGTCTTACTTCTGGAGGCGCAGGGGAGGGCGCCGCACGGAGCGTTGCCATCCACCGCCACAGGACCCACGACCTGCTCAATAGCTTGCTTTCTTTTGGCCTGCGCATTCTTGCACTATTCTGGCAAGTAGTTCAAAAAAAATTCCAACACGAATTCAGTTTTTCGGTGAAGTCGCATCCATGCGGCGTCAGAACACTCCGTGACAACGCCGCACTTCAGCATTCTGCTTAGGGTGTACATCCAGCACGAAACATACGCCTGCCCCTGGACCCCGCATTTATATCAGTTTGTTCCTGATCGATCGCCGACGTGCGCATAATTCACTCCGCCACGTTCCTTCTCACCAATATTGTCGTGGCTAACGCAAGTCAGCAAGAACTCCACTAGCCTGGGCAACAATGCAGATCTTTGTCAAGACCCTCACGGGGAAGACCATCACTCTAGATGTTGAGCCATCAGACACTATCGAGAACGTAAAGGCAAAGATTCAAGACAAGGAGGGAATTCCTCCTGATCAGCAGCGTCTTATTTTTGCCGGCAAGCAGCTGGAAGATG